ATAGAAGGAAGGGAGATGATAGAAGGAAGATGATAGACAGAAGGAAGGAAGGAAGATGATGGATGGAAGGAAGGAAGGAAGGAAGGAAGGAAAAGTCCACCCGTTTGAAAGTCCCTCAAGGTTGAGAAACACCCTCCAGAAAGTGTCCAATTGCCATTATTTTTACACACAGAAAAAAGAAAAGGCGTTCCATACCCAGATTTAACATTTTAAATTTAGAATTTTTAAATTTCTCAAGGGGGGGGGGGTCCAACACAGGCTCAGAAACCAGCTCCCCCTCCCAACCCCCCCTTTTTTTTGCGGCAGACAGACCAAGGGCCAAAGATTGCCCACCTGGCAGAGAGGCCTGAAACCGGATCGGATCCAAACTTCCCAACTCTTTCATGATGTATCAGGAGGGCTGGGGATGATGGGCTTTGTTGTCCGATCACCACACGATTGGGGAAAAAAGCATCGTCGGAAATGAAACACAGATTTCAAAGACCACTCCCCCCCTCTGGCCCGTTTGGCTCTCCCACCCCGTCCCCTTGGGCCAGTTTGTGAGTCGTTGTGCTGCTTCCTCTCCAGTTGTGTACGTCTGCTGTGCCGCCAACATCTTCCGTGCGCTGATGCTCCAGGCGCACCGCGAAGGGCTCACCACCGGCGATTACGCCTTCTTCTACATCGACCTCTTCGGCTCAACCCTCCGCAGCTCCAAATTCCCCGACCGGACGCTCCCTTGGCGACGCGGGGACGGGGACGATGGGGCGGCCCGGGAGGCTTATAAGGTGAGTGAGGGGCGCCAACCTTCGTTGTCCCACCCTGGGTCAAAAAGGCAGGTCTGAAGGCGGTGGGAGAGGAACCATCTGGTCCTGCTTTAGTCGTACGTTTGGCGCCAAGAATTCAGTTTTTATATAAAGATGGGTGGGTGGGTGGGTGGGTGGGTGGATAGATTAGATAGATAGATAGATAGATAGATAGATAGATAGATAGATAGATAGATAGATAGATAGATAGATAGATAGATAGATAGATAGATAGATAGATAGATAGATACAGGTAGATACAGGTAGATACAGGTAGACAGACAGATAGATATATAGAGGATGGATGGAGGGAGAGATGAGAGAGAGACAGACAGACAGATAGACAGATATATAGAGGAGGGAGGAATAGATAGGTAGATAGACAGATAGATAGATAGATAGATAGATAGATAGATAGATAGATAGATAGATATGGATGGATGATAGATAGATAGATAGATAGATAGATAGATAGATAGATAGATAGATAGATAGATAGATAGATAGATAGATAGATAGAGGAATACTGGTCAGGACTATAAACACGTATGTCAGGGAGAAGGGAATCCCGACTCCTTTTGGCACAGGGTAGGATAGAAACACTCCAGCCTTGAATTCGGATTCTCATTTTTGGGGGGGGGGGGGGGAGAGGCAGGCCGGGAACGAGGGGTTGGAGAGTGACCGGAAGGGGCTTGCCTACCGCCAGCCAGCCCGGCCTGCCTTTCTCTCCTCCAGCCTGGCCTGAAAGAGAGGAAGGAAGTCAGATAAATGGGCCGGATTCTGAAGCCGACAAGTTGCCCTATTAATAACACCCCCCCCCCCCGAGAGCTGAAAGTTGCTTTTTTAAACTTAAAAGGGGGATCATTTTGGGGTAGAAGGAGGCAGGTTTAGGAGCTGAAAAAAGAGTTTTTAAAAGGCACCAGACCGTTTCTAGAGAAAGGCTGATCCGCGGCCGTGTTTTTCCCCTTCTTCGTTCAGTAGAACCTCCAGACTCAGGGGCAGTATATCAGGCTAAGTTGCGAGCAATTAACGAAGGCCCAGCAAGAGGCATTTATGGGAGAGGGGGGGGAAACCAAAGGAAATGAGACCAGTTGGCGACCCCACCAGGGACAAAAGTCTTAAATTTGGATTATTTTTCTCGGCCATCGGTCGCTAAACGAAGAGCTTGCCTCTCGGCCGCTAAAGGAACTGGGACTACCTGCAAGGGGAGGTTTCCGGCCCAGACGGGAGGTTGGATCAGATGATCTCTTAGTGTCCCTACTTTCCACAATTCTGCGGACGATCTGCTCTGAGAAACAAGCTCGGCGGAGCCTCCGTGGGTCAGGGAAGTCTATCTGACCCCTTGGAACGGTGGGGGGGGAACTTTGGGGGGGGAAGTAAGCTGCTGAATGACATAAATCAAAGTCGGGCACTTGTCCCGAAGGTTTGCAGAGGGGGGAGGGTCGAAAAACTCCTGGTGGCCGTCGGGGAAGGGAGGATGGGAGTTGTAGTCCATCTCCTGGAAGTGTCTTGAAAACAGGCTGGTGGGCTCGAGTTAATGATGCTAGATAATCTCCCCCCCGCCCCGAATATTGGGGTTAAGTCATTTTGTCCTGCCTCCCTCTTGACCCCCCCACCCCCACCCCCAGGCTGTCATGCTGATCACTTACGCCGAACCCCAAAATCCGGAATACGGCCTCTTTCTCCAGTACATGAAGCGCACCTCCCAGGAGCAGTTTAACTTCACCCTGCAAGACGGGCTGGTAAGGAGGAGACTTGGAAGGGGCCTTAGAGGTCTTCTAGTCCAGCCCCCTGCTGTAAGAGCAGCGGGGGAAAAACCACCCCACATTTTGCTCATATTCGGGGCTGAAAAGTGGCACTCCTCGCACTCGGAACCCAACGCCAGGCTTGATTTCCAGCCTGGGTCCCACCTGGTCTGAGCCTCCAGGCCGGCTTAGCCACCCTGGGCGGGAGAAACGATGCTGGCTTGTAGATCCCGGCTTCCCTTTTGCTCTGCCACGTATCCGACGTGGAAATGACACCACCCAGCGAGTCATCCCTTTGGAGCTGAGTGCAGAGAGGGAATCCAGCAAGGTTCGTAAGCGGGCAAGGTGTGTGCGTTGCGACCTCCTTGCACAACTGCGGGCGCTCCGTCGCTGGCGGTTTTGAAGAGGAGACTAGACAGTCCCGTGCCTGAAATGGTATAGGGGGGGCTGGACTAGAAGACCTCTGAGGCCCCTTCCAGCAGCTCTATTCTATTCTAAAATTCCAAATATTCTAAACGGGAGAGCGGCAATTTAGAAGCCATTGAGGCACCCCGTGAGTGGATTTGGGGCAATCCGGGTCTTGGGATCGAATGGTGCCACCCCCCCACCTGGCCCTCGATGCAGTGGGCCCGATCCCCCACTTTCCCAGCCTTCCTTGCCCACCCCTTGCATCCCGACCCTCTCTAAATTCTCCAGGAAAATTTCATCGCGGGGGCTTTTCATGACGGGGTGATGCTCTACGCCCAGGCGGTAAACGAGACGTTGGCCCGAGGCGGTTCTCTGGCCAACAGCACGGCCATCACGCTCCAGATGCGTAACCGGACTTTCTACGGTCAGTTTCCCTGCAGGCTCTGGATATATTTTTATAAAGCTGGGGGTGGGTGGGATTTCCGCTGAGGAGGGGGCCGTCCGTGGGGGTATAGACCCTTCAGAGGAACCCGGATTAGGTCGAATCGGCCAGAAGGGATCTTAAAAGGTCATCCAGTCTCGCCCTCGACTGATGGGGCCAAGTCCTAGAGCATTTTGGACCCCTTGATATTCTTCCATCGATCGGTATCGACAGCCTAAAATTGGAGAGGTTTAAAAATGTTTATTGGAGGCCGCAGACCCCTTCCTGGGGTCTCCTTGTTAGGGGAAAAAGTCTAACAATTTGGGGTTATTTTATTTTATCATTTTTTTAAAAAAATCTTCCGCCCTGCAGGAATCACGGGGGCCCTGCGGATTGATCAGAACGGGGACCGGGAAATGGATCACACGCTCTGGGACCTGGATCCGGTCAGGGGAGAGTTTGAGGTTAGTGGAATGACGGGGGGTGGGAAACAAAAACAAACCGTGGCTTGGAGTTCCACAGACCCGCTGGGATGTGATGGCGATTTGGATCCTATCAAAATAAATTTTTCTACGCTGTTGTAGAAGAATCTTCTCTAGGGAGACCGACAGATCCACCGGGCGCCTTTTCACTAACTTGCTGAGTTTGTAGTCCGACGCTAAGGTAGCCTGCCTCTGTACGTGGAGGCTTTGCTCAGCCGTTGCAGGAATTGTCTCTCCGATTGGCTCCTCCGTCCACTTGATCCCTTTTAAATGGTCCTGGTGGCAGTGAGTTCCAAAGATTAACTCCCTGTTGGGTTACGGCAGTGTTTCTCATCCTTGGCAACTTTAAGAGGGATGGACTTTAACACCCAGAATCCCCCAGTTTGCTTTAAGACAGATAGACTTCAACTCCCAGAATTCCCCAGCCAGCTTGCTCTGAGACGGGTGGACTTCAATTCCCAGAATCCCCCAGTCAGATGGTTGGCTGGGGAATTCTGGGAGTTGAAGTCCACCCCTCTTAAAGTTGCCAAGGTAGAGAAAGACCGAGTTAAGGTTGACATTGCCCAGCCCCAAATCAAAGGAAATTCGTCTTATTTCCCCCCTGGCCTTTCTCTCTCCGCAGATCGTGGCCAATTACAACGGGACCACCAAGAAGATCGAAATGGTCCCGGGAAAAAGGATCCACTGGCCGGGTGACGCCATCCCGAGAGATGTTCCCTTTTGCGGTTTTGAGAATAACAACCCACTTTGTCAGAAAGGTGCAGCTTTGGGGTGACATGGAAAGAAACGGGGTTGATCTGAAGCCACTAGAGACTATGGAACTCCCTTCCACTTGAATTGTGGACTGATATGCCACAGGGAAGGAGGGGGGGGGCCAAGAGACATCAAATATAGATGTATTTATTCCGGGATTTAAACCACCTTGACTGAGCCGGCTTGGAGGAATTGGGGTTTGTTTTTCAAGGGGTTTAAATTTGGATAATGGAAGCCACCAAATTGGGATCAGTTTCACAAGACTCTCCGTCCTCTCTTTTTATTTTTTATTTTTCCTTCTCCCACCCAGCCTCGTTTTCCTTGCTGGAGATCTTGTCGCTTGTGATGACTTTGCTTCTGTTTGGCATCATCGTCACGGCCTTCTTTGCGTACCGGTGAGTGGGCAGGATTGATCCCGCCCAATGGAAAACCGAGTTTTCTGCTTCGGGTCTGGGATCCACTTGATTTTCAGGCGGGATATTCATGACTGGTTGATCGTTTATGCAAAGCCAATTCTGAGCAATTCTGTTTAAAGCAAAGTCGATTCTGAGCTGCTAATTAACTGGAAGATTTTATGAGATGGGGTGGGTCGCGGTGGGGGAAATTGTGAGACTCTGGATCTTTCAACCATCTGAACTGGTGTGGTGGGAATGACCTATTTGCAAAATTAAAAAAAGGAAGAAAATTGAGGGACGGGCCAACCATACTTTTCTGCCTTGGTGTGTTTTCCCATGTGGTTAGGAAAATGAAGCTGGAGAAGGAGCTGGCTTCCGAATTTTGGCGTGTCAGCTGGGAGGACGTGCAGTCGAGCAACCTGGAGAAAAATCTACGCAGCACGGGCAGCAAAGTCACACTCTCGCTGGTGCGTACCCCGCCTTTGTTGGTCTCCCGATCGGACTGCCTCTTCTTTGTGCGTTTCAATTTTTTTTTTTTAAAAAAAGGTGCTTTTGGACTCTGCACTAGGTCCTCTCCCTGCTTGCATAGCCCTTTATACACATCCCCTTGGTGCAATGCATACACCACCCCTTAGAGGTAGGCCTGTAGGACCCTTGTAGGGTGCAAAACAGGTTTGGGATGTTGTCAAAGCCCACAGACCCAAACCCAAACGTCCCAAGGCTGGGATCTCTTTTCAAGAGCTTGGAAAGAAGTAAAACCTTGATCACTTTGGAGGGGGGGGTTCTCCTGCAAAAAAGGGGTGTCCTCCCCTGTTTCCCACCTCTTTATTTATTTTTTTTAGCGAGGCTCAAATTACGGATCTTTGCTGACCACGGAAGGACAATTCCAGGTTTATGCCAAGACAGCTTATTATAAAGTAAGCTTCGTCTCAGATCGTTGCGGTCGGAAAAGGGGAAGGCCCTGGGATTGAGGGCAGGGGTCTTTGGGCAAGGTCACCCCAACATTGGGGGTCTTTGGGGGGGTCTCTTCTTTTCCCCAACACTGGGTCACCATCCTCTTTTTTTCCAGGGGAACCTGGTGGCTGTGAAGCACATGAATCAGAAGCGCATCGACCTGACGCGGGATGTTTTGTTTGAGCTGAAACACGTAATTAGATTTTATTCCTCCTCTTTGCTCTGTCTGTCTGTCTATCATCTCTCTCTTATCTCTCTCTCTCTTATCTATCAATCTGTATCTATCATGTATCTATATATCTCTCTCTATCTTCTATCATCTCCCTCTATCTCTACCTTCCTTCTTTTCTCCCTTCCCTTCCCCTTTTTATTTTTCCTCCCTTCCTCTCTTCCTCCTTTCTTCCCATTCTTTCTTTCCTTCTCCCCCTCCTTCTTCCTTTTCCCTCCCTCCCTCCCTCCCTCTTTCTTTCTTTCTTTCTTTCTTTCTTTCTTTCCTTCCTTCCTCCCTTCCTCCCTCCCTCCCTCCCTCCCCCCCTCTCTCTTTCTTTCTTTCTTTCTTTCTTTCTTTCTTTCTTTCTTTCTTTCTTTCTTTCTTTCTTTCTTTCTTTCTTCCCCTTCTCCTCCCCTTCCCAGGGATCCTACAGGAGGCGGCTGGGCAGCCTCAACTGGCTCATTAGCAAGAAGGAGAGAGAAGGGGGGGGGCGAGGAGGGGGCTGGCACCGGGACTTGCCCCCTGCACCAGAGCGCCTGACTCATTAGCGAGGAAGCAGGAGGCCGATAGCCATCTGCTCCCCGCTTAATGAGCCACGGAGCATCTCTGCTGGGAAAGCCACGGAGCCCAGCCAGCCCTCCGCAAGGAAGGAGATAAGCCAGGATGAGACCTTGGCTGGGCGCTGGGCAGACACAATGGCTGGGGATTAGCAGCCCGGCGGAAGGGGAAGTGGAGTCAGGCACCGGCTGGCTTGGGGGCGACCCAGGGCCCACCCGTGACGTGACGGAGACGGAGTCCAGCCCTTCCCCGGTCAGGCGGGTGGCCGTCCAGAGGATGGTGCCAAGGCCGCCACCTGGCCAGCCAGCATCCAGAGCTTTTCTGCCCATCGGTAGCGAAGATGGACGGGACGTGGTCCACCAGTTCCCGCAATCCTACCGCAAAACCCCCTCCAGAGCCAGCCTCAGTGTTTTCAGGCCGCCACGAACAAGCCAGCATGCCAGAGCTTTGCCCGCCCTCTCTTGAGGAAGCCTCTTTGGGCACAAAGCAGGTGGCTCAGTTTCCTCCAGGCGACGTGCACAGCCCTGTTTGTAAACTGGGTTTCCTCCAGGTGACGTGCAAATCTGGGTTTCAGAAGTAGGTTTCCACCGGGGGACGCGCAAACCTGGGTTTCGCCCAGGTGAGGTGCAAACTAAATTTTCTACTGGGCCCACAATACCCCAGAGTGGGATTTGCAAGCGTGACAGAGTGTGGGTGTGTGGGTGTATGTACACCAGCGAGACTAAGGGAGTTTTTTTTTCCCTCTCCAGATGAGAGACGTCCAGAATAAGCACTTGACCCGTTTCATCGGCGCCTGCATTGATCCCCCAAATATCTGCGTTCTGACGGAGTATTGCACCCGTGGAAGCCTGCAGGTACCTAGGGGTGTGCAAAAGAGAGAGAGAGAGAGAGAGAGAGAGAGAACAGGAAAAGGGCTGGGGGGGAGGCGTGTGTGTCGGAGAAGGGCTGGAGGCCAAATCTTCTGGCATTTTTCTCTTCCTCCTCCTCCTCCTTGTCCGCCCTTTTTAAAAATTATTTTCATTCCAGGAAGAGGTAGACGAAGGGTCAAGAGGCGTTAATAAAACCCTAGACACTAGCAGTTTTTGGAAGGGCTGTTTATCTCCGGCTGAAAAGAAACGGCAGAGCTGGAAGGGACCTTGGAGGTCTTCTAGTCCAACCCCCTGCTCAGGCTAGGAGACCCTCTACCCTTTCAGACCAATGGCTGTCCAGTCTCTTCTTGAAAGCCTCCAGTGGTGAGGAAGGAAGGAAGGAAGGAAGGAAGGAAGGAAGGAAGGAAGGAAGGAAGGAAGGAAGGAAGGAAGGAAGGAAGGAAGGAAGGAAGGAAGGAAGGATAGAATAACAGAACCTTGGAGTCTTCTAGTCCAACCCCCTGGAGGAGGAGGGGGACCTAGACCATTTCAGACAAGTGGTTGTCCAATCTCTTCTGGAAAACCTCCAGCGACGGAGCATCCACAAATTCTGATGGCAACTTCTGCTCCACTGATCAATTGTCCTCCCTGTCGGGAAGTTTCTCCTTAATTCCAGGTTGCTTCTCTCCTTGATTAGTTCCCATCCTTTGCTTCTTGTCCTGCCTTCAGGGGCTTTGGAGAATGACCCCTCCCCTCTTCTTTGGGGCAGCCCCTCAAATATTGGAAGACTGCCACCGTGTCCCCCCAGTCCTTCTTTTCATCAAACCAGACACGCCCGATTCCAGCCACCTTTTTCCTACGTTTTAGCCTCCAGACAAACCATCTTCGTTTCTCGATTAGCAAAGCTGGTTTAGGGTTCCTCTGCCGAGGAAGGAGGGCAGCCTGCCTTCTCTGGTCCGGTTGGGCACGGGGCCAAGGAGAGGGCGGGCGGGCGGACGGACGGAGGGACGGATGGAGGGTGGGCAAGCAAGCATTTTTAATTAAAAGAGGACTCGGAGAAACTGCCTGGAGCGGGCAGCTAATTCCAGAGAGGTGATTTATGACACGGGGGATGAGTCTGTTTGTGTGTCAAAAGAACAGCGATTTCTACATGCCAAGGTTTCCGGCTGGTTGCTGCAGATAAATTTTTGCAAAAGAAAGGCGGGGAAGAAAAAAAGAAAAAAAAAAGGAAAAACTGATAAAGGACGCAACTAACCGGGTGGGTAAAGAATGGATAGGAGAGCAAAGAGAATATTGGATTTTTTTTTGTCTTTTTCCAGGCCCAAATAGAGAAGCTGGAAGGATCATAATATATATATATTATCTCTCTCTCTCTCTCTCTAGTTCTCTCTTTCTCTCTCTCTCTCTCTCTCTCATCTATCTATCTATCTATCTATCTATCTATCTATCTATCTATCTATCTATCTATCTAGAGTTCTCTCTTTCTCTCTCTCTCTCATCTATCTATCTATCTATCTATCTATCTATCTATCTATCTATCTATCTATCTATCTATCTATCTATCTATCTATCTATCTATCTATCTATCTATCTATCTATCTATCTACCTACCTACCTACCTATCTATCTATCTATCTATCTATCTATCTATAGAGAGAGAGAGAGAGAGAGAGAGAGAGAGAGAGAGAGAGAGAGATTTAATGGAAGAATTGCATCATATCCAAAAGGGAATAGAGACTAAAATCAGAGATAAAAGAGGAGGAAAAGCAATGCGAAGCGCTAAAGAAGAAAGAGAAGGAATAGAAAAAAGAAAAAAAATTAAATATAATATTTCCTGTTTCTAATAGAAATACAGGAAATACAGTTGAACCCAAAATTTATGGAGACATTTGTTAAAGTGAGTTTTGTCCCCTTTTACGACTTGGCTTGCCGCGGCTGTTAATTGAATCACTGCAGTTCATAAGTCAGTCCCTCTGTCGTTAAGTGAATCCGGCTTCCCCCCCCCTTGGCTTTGCTTGTCAGAAGGCCGCAAAAGGGGATCACGTGACCCCAGGGGGACGCCGCGACCGTCATAAATACGAGTCAGTTGCCGAGTGCCTGAATTTTAATCAGCATTACAATGATGTTGCAAAGGCCATAAGTGTGAAAAAACGGTCATAAGTCCCTTCGTTTCAGTGCCGTTGTGACTTTGAACGGTCACTAAATGAAACCGTCGCAAGCTGAGGACCAGCTGTGGAAGACAGACTATTTAAAGAAGGGATTTCCGCTCTTTCTTGCAAAAGATACAAGCCAAGTAATGTTTTTCCACCCCAGAGCGCTGCTGTGACTTCAAAGTGGTCATTAAAGAACAGTCGTAACCTGAGGACTGCCTCGTAGTGGGGCGAAAGGAAGCAGAGAACCGCTTTGAAATGACTTGTAAGCCCATGTTCCTCTCCCCGTCCGTTTAGGATATCCTGGAGAACGACAACATCACCTTGGATTGGATGTTCCGCTATTCGCTCACCAGTGACATCATCAAGGTAACCAAATTGCTTGCTTGCTTTCTTGCAGACGTTTCATGACCCAACTAGGTAATCCGATCAGTGCTAGAAGAACATTTGCCCCAAACTCCACTAGCACTGATGAGGTTACCTAGTTGGGTCACGAAACGCCTGCAAGAAAGCAAGAAAGCTCAGAGAGCACCAAAGACCCCTCAAACCTTGCTTTGCCATCAAGAACACAACTGCAGTGGTGGGGGGGGGAGTGGACTAGGATTCGTGGTGGGCCTGGAGATTTGGCCCAGGATCATGGAGCGGGGAGTTCCCCTGATGTTCTCTCCTCTCCTCTCTTGCACCCGCCCGTCTTCTCTCGGCCTCAAGGGGATGCTTTTCCTGCACCACAGTGTGATTGCCTATCATGGCAACCTGAAATCGTCCAACTGCGTGGTGGACAGCCGTTTCGTGCTGAAGATCACCGATTATGGGCTGGAGAGCTTCCGCCAGGTGCCCGAGACCGACGACTCGCACGCCCTCTTTGCCAGTGAGTTGTCCTCTCGGAGAGCGCAGGGGGGGAAAACGAGAGTTGCCAAGGGCACAGATTTTGTCCCCACGTACAACAGTTGTACATGGAAAGCCGGCCGTAAGTCGCTTTTTGTTGTGACTTCAACAGTCGCTAAGCGAGTGCTCGTACGTCGAGGACCACCTACACAGGATCCTTCTCCTGGCCTGCTGGATCGAAGCGTCTTTAGCCCCGTCTGACTCCAGTTCCCTGTTTTTTTAGAGAAACTCTGGACGGCCCCTGAGCTCTTGAGGTTGGACACCCCCGCCTGTCCGGGAACTCAGAAAGGGGATGTCTACAGTTTTGGTATCATTTTGCAAGAAATCGCCCTCCGCAACAGCGTCTTCTACGTGGAAGGGGTGGATCTGAGTCCTAAAGGTGAGAAGGGAATGGAAAAAAATCCCAATTTCCTTGGATGAAATTGTACGATTTTGATCACATTAACGTAATCTGTCCTCGTTTCTCGCGGGAAAAACAAAATCTCGTTTCTCGCGGGAAATCTGAAATCTCTCCTCGTTTCTTGCGGGGAATCTGAAATCTGTCCACGTAATCTGTCCTCGTTTCTTGTGGGGAATTTAAAATCTGTCCACGTAATCTGTCCTCATTTCTCACGGGAAGTAACATCTGCTTTGGAACTCCTGGGAGTGTGCAAAACCTGTGCAATTTTTTAAAAGTTTGGGTGAGGTTCCTACATCTTTTTTTTTTTTACTCCCAGGCATCTCTTAATCTCCTCACTTCTCCCCACATTTTTTTGGCCCTTTCCAGAGATTATTGAGCGCGTCACGAACGGGGAACAGCCCCCCTTTCGCCCCTCGACGAATCTGCCCTCCAATCTGGAGGAGGTGGTCCATCTCATGCAGAGATGCTGGGCTGAGGACCCCCAGGAGCGCCCGGATTTTCAACACATCAAAGGCATGCTGCGGAGGTTCAACAGGTAGAGCGTGGGGTGGGGGAAGCGAGGATAGGATGGGGTGGATTTCCCGGCAGGCTTTGAGGATCAAGAGGTGATTTGAGGAGATTTGCTGAAAAGATGAGGCGAGAAGTGGAGTTGGCCCAACTTCCAGACCTGGGACACAGATAGGACTAGAAACTTGGTTTGTCTCTGGCCGGGAAGCAGATTTGACGGCTTCGGCCTCTGAATTTTGATGGCAGGGAAAACAGCTGTAACCTTTTGGATACACTGCTGTCACGGATGGAGCAGTATGCCAACAACTTGGAGGAACTGGTGGAGGAACGGACACAGGCCTACCTGGAGGAGAAGCGCAAAGCTGAAGCCCTGTTATACCAGATTTTACCCCAGTAAGTCCACTTCTCCTCGCGATCTTAGCGGTTGCTGCCTAATAGAGCCTTCCTGGACAGGAATGGTCTATCTTTGCATTCCAGAGGTTGGGGCTATAGCCCCGGGGCTTTGATTCGCACTTCTTAGAGACATCTCTGACCGAGACAAATTTTTACCTTGACCAACTTTCAGTTCGATGTGGGTGCGATGAGACTCCTTTGCGCAGGGTGAGAGTTAAAATGGGAAGAGGCCCCTAGCCTCTTTTCTTTTCGGCCTGCCAACTTTGATTCGCCCAAGAAAGAGATTTATTTATTTATTGGTTTATGAAATGTATATGCCGGCCATCTATTGAGGGAGGGATCCTCTCTCTCTGCACTTTCTTCATTTCTCACGTCCAACCGTGAAAAACTACAACCTTCGGAATGGGATGGGAGGAATAAGGAGGCCCAGTAATGCCAAGATGGGGGAGACAGGGTGGTTTGGAAGGGGGGCAACATCCGGTCCACCCTCCCCAAAACCTGTCCTCAGAGGCCAGACCTCGGTCAGCTCTGGCCAAGCCAGGATGTTGCACCCATTTGATTTCATACTGGCCCCTGCCCGAATTGATTTGTGGCCATGACGTTGTGTCCTTCCTGTCCAGCTCGGTGGCCGAGCAGCTGAAACGGGGGGAGACGGTCCAGGCGGAGGCCTTTGACAGCGTCACCATCTACTTCAGCGATATTGTGGGGTTCACCGCCTTGTCGGCAGAGAGCACCCCCATGCAGGTAAGTGGGATGGTTGGTGGTGGCAGGGAGGACTTAGAGGAGCTGGTCAAGTCTCGTCTGGCCTCAAGTGGACTGGAAACGATCCCGCAAATCTTGGCTGCCTCTGGTTTCATCCTTTGGGAAGATAACAGCGTGGCCTCATTGAAAAGACCCTCGCATTGCCCTTGTTTCCCCCCCTTTTTATTTTCCCAGGTGGTGGCCTTGCTGAATGACTTATACACCTGCTTTGATGCCATCATTGATAACTTTGATGTCTACAAGGTGAGCAGGGTCTTGGTACCCTTCTCTCACTCACTCCCTCTCTCTCTCCCTCTCATCTACCAGTCACAATCTCCATTCATTCACCCTGTATGTCTATTATCTGTTTCCTTCCTTCCTTCCTTCCTTCCTTCCTTCCTTCCTTCCTTCCTTCCTTCCTTCCTTCTTCTCAATCTATCATCTATCTCTGTTGTCTGTCTATATCATCTGTCTGTCTGTCTGTCTGTCTGTCTGTCTATCATCTATCTATCTATCATCTATCTATCTATCTATCTATCTATCTATCTATCTATCTATCTATCTATCTATCTATCTATCTATCTATCTATCTATCTATATCTATCTATCTATCCAGTGCTTTTTTTCTAAAAAAAAAAAAAAAGGTGCCGGAACTCACACACGTCATACAACCCGCCTTGCCTACCCTACAAGGTTCCATCCAAAAAAGGTGCCGGAACTCCGTTCTGGGCGTTCTATGAGAAAAAAAGCCCTGTATCTATCTATCCATCTATCCCAGAATTCCCCAGCCAGCTCTGGAATTCTGGGAGTTGAAGTCCACACACCTTAAAGCCACCAAGGTTGAGCACCGTTGCTCTTTTCCTTCTCCAGGTGGAGACCATCGGGGACGCTTACATGGTGGTGTCCGGTTTGCCGGTCCGCAACGGCCGACTCCACGCCCGCGAGATTTCCCGCATGTCCCTGGCACTCCTGGAAGCCGTTCGCAACTTCAAAATTCACCATCGGCCTGAACAGCAACTCAAGTTGCGGATTGGGATCCATAGTGGTGAGGAGCCGTTTGTGTGTGTGTGTGTTTATCACAAACACAGGGGTTAGTGTGCAAGAGACCAGAAGTTAGATCATGCAATTATGGTGCTTCAGAAGTCAGTAGATCTGACGTACGCAGTCGAGATGTTCACCCAGTTTCTTGCAGGGTCTAAATGTTGATGAGCTTTGACAGACCGTGAAGGTTGACTGTGAAATGACTCTTAAACTATGATTTGCATGTTGTGATTTCTCCCGCATTGACAAAGGAGGCCTTGGGGTTGTGACTTTGAATGGTAGTTCTCCAACAGACATTCTAGGATTCTCAGGGAAGGGAGGAGAAAACGGGAAATAGCCACAAATCAGGGTTTGATGGCACCCCGGAAATCTAAATCATGGCCTAGAACAGGGATAGGCAACCTCGGCTCTTTTATGACTCATGGACTTCAACTCCCAGAATTCCTGAGTCAGCTATGCTGACTCAGGAATTCTGGGAGTTGAAGTCCATGAGTCATAAAAGAGCCGAGGTTGCCTACCCCTGGCCTAGAATCAGCACTTCAGTTCTCACAAGTTCTCATTCTGTTCATCTCTGAAACCGACCTTCAGAGCCAGATCCTTCACAAGCCAGGATAAGAGGAAACAAAAAAATCCACTGTAATTCCTGGCTCAATCTGAATATTGTGGTTTCAAGACTGGTCCTTATAGACAGGCCAAAGGATGTGGTTAGAAATGTTGGCCATCTCGTTGACCCTCCTGGCCCATCATATTTTCTTCCTCAAGGTCCAGTCTGCGCAGGAGTTGTAGGCTTGAAGATGCCTCGTTACTGCCTCTTTGGAGACACGGTCAACACAGCTTCGCGCATGGAATCCAACGGCGAAGGTAAAGAAGAGGGAGAAGGAGGAAGAAGGTGGGGAATGGAATGGAATAGATCAGGGGTCTTCAAACTTGGCCCTTTTATGACTTGTGGACTTCAACTCCCAGAATTCCTCAGCCAGGCATGCCTGGCTGAGGAATTCTGGGAGTTGAAGTCCACAAGTCATAAAAGGGCCAAGTTTGAAGACCCTTGGAATAGATGTTTGGCGTGTCCCACACCAGCTGGAAGCTTGTAGGTAGCTAAGGAGATGGTGGAATAACTGACCTAGGAGAAGACTTTGAGGCTACTTGGTGGAGGACAATTTCCGCTGAGCCTGTTGAAGCAAGGTAGAAGCAAGGTGGAGGGAGAACATCTTGAGAAGAACCAATGAAGGCCATCTCCTTCATTGTTCCATCCAGTGGTCCTTCAGGAGTTCTTCTTGCTGGGATGGCCTACTAGTCTCCATCTCTGCTTCCTTTCTCCAGTTCCATTCCTTCTAATCCAGATATTCTGTCCAGCTGTTCTAATGCACCTCTCTGGTCATTACAGCGTTGAAGATCCATTTGTCGGCGGCCACCAAAGGCATCCTGGAAGAGTTTGGGTGTTTCGAACTGGACCTCCGAGGAGACATAGAGATGAAGGTGAGGACGACGTCTGCTGGGTTGAAGGTCCTCGCTGCCTCTGGGTCCTGCATTTTTCGTGGTTTCTTCGGTCCCTGGGTGGCCGATGGCTCTGGAGGGACCTTCTGCCTGGACTCTGATAGACCTTCTTTCCTCCATCTCTTCCCTACTCACAGGGCAAGGGGAAACTCCGGACGTACTGGTTGACGGGCGAACGGGTCAGCAGCACCCGAGGGTGAGGAGAAAACGGAGAAGACGCTCACTCCTGCTTCCTTCAAGGAGATCCACCTTCTTAGTGGAGGGGCCCGGACTGTCCTTGGAGAACTTATTGGCTTGGAGTTGAGGGCACCACGGATGGACCTCAGAGGACTATCCTTGCCCCCCTGTCCAATTTCCCTTTCGCTTCTGCATCACCCTGCAAATCTGGTCCCCAGGTCCAAAGATTGTGTAGGAGATCAGGAGATGATCAGGAAGCGGCCTTCTTCTCTACCTGCATGGTGGGAAGTGCTGGAGAAGTTGGCTTGAGGCCCATCATTTATAGGGGCCACCCCCTCATCTTTTCTGGGAACGTTGGACGTTTGGAACTTCTGTGGTCGAGTCAACGTCACAATTAAGGCAGGCCCGGACCCTACACAACTCTTGTGACAGTATGCACACTCCCCCTGGGAGTTCCTGGGCGCTGCAGATTTTACAATAAATGGAACGTATAGGTCAACTCCCTCGGTTATTTTTGGTTGATGTGATGCCCGGAGAGACTCTTTTTCTCGTCTTAAGCTTCGGGAGCCCCCTCCTCATTTCGCTTTTGTGGCTGTGCGGCACTCTGCACGTGCTCTAAAGTCCCAGTTGCAGCTTTGCGAAACTTGAACGTCGAATCGGAGGAGCTAAAACGGTGCCCCGTAGATTTCAAGAAAGGGAAGGGAATGTGTATATATATATATATATATATACAGGCCGTCCTTGACTTAACAAGAGTTCATTTAGTGACCGTTCAGAGTTACATCGGCAGTGAAAAAAGTGACCGGTGACCGTTTTTCACACTTAAACGACTGCCAAATTCAGACACTCGGCAACTGACAAAAGTGTGCAAATCACGTTAGGATTGGTGCCCTTCCCCCCCAAAAAAAGCGAGGTCAGAAACCCAACTGCAGCTTGAAAAGGGAGAAAATGGCGCTTGCTTTTTTAAAAACACATTTCCAGCGTCCTGCTTTTCTTTTTTCTTTTTTTTTAAAAAAAGGATGCTGTTACGCATCCGAGGGAAAAAAGGATAATTAAATGACCCTTTTTTTTTCATTTCCTCTGGGCTTGTTCACAATTGCATTACTTAGCCTCTGCAAGAAGATTTATTTCCCTGGTGTGTGGAAAACATCTTCAGTATTTTTGAACGGCTACAAATCACAGCTTCTAAAGAAAAAAAAAAGCTGGGATGGATATTTGTGGGCTGCTCGGAGGTTTGGTTTTTAAGCATCAAAGGTTAATAATTGCCTTTTAACATCTTCTCTCTGAAGGCAAAGCCCTCGTAATTTTATTAGCCTTCAAACTTTGGTTTAGCTGGAATTGGAATGGCTTAGTTAGTGGTAGGCATTGTGGAAATATTTTGAAATTATTTGCTTTTAAGGAACCAGCTCCAATATATTTTTTCGCCCAAACAGCCTGTTTTGATTCGTTTCTCTGTCGGAATAATTCCTTTCAAGTTTCCTTTTCCCCCCCTAAATGCTTGTTTATTTGAAATATAAATCTAAGTGTTCTTTTTTTTTTTAAAAAAAAAATGATATTCAAGGCTATCAGAGATAAAACAGACAGCAGGGGGGGGAGATAGATTCAAAGGGAACAAAATAGTGATATTAGTAATATGGATAGTCCTCAACTCAGCAATCACAATTTGAGCCCAAACTTTCTGTGGCTAAGCGAGACAGTTACCGGTAAGTGACTTTTGCCCCATTTTACGACCGTTCTCGCCACAGCTGTTAAGTGAATCACTGCAGTTGTTAAGTTAGTGACCCAGTTGTTAAGTGAATCTGATTTTCCTATTGACTTTGCTCGCCAGATCGCAAAAGGGGATCGCCTGACCCAAGACACTGCGACCGTCATAAATATGAGTCAGTTGCCAAGCATCCAATTTTGATCACGTGATCACTGGGATGATGCAATGGTCATAAGTGTGAAAAAAGGGTCATAACAGTCACTTTTTTCAATGTAACTTTGAACGGTCTCTAAATGAATGGTTGTAAACCGAGGACCAGGTTTAATGCCCACAAATCTAGGAATGATCAAATAAGGTTCTGCCACTTTGCATAAATGTAGGCATGCTGATGGCGATAAATCTGGGTATTTTTCCTCCAATATATATATGCAAATACATATATATACATGCATATATATTATATATATGTGTATACACACACACGCACACATCCAAATTAATACTATACACTTTATTGTAAACCACTCAGGGTCATTTATGCATTGATGAGATGGGCTGAATATAAATTCGATGAATAAATACCATTGGGAATTTAATTTAATGAAACGTTGTGGCAACCACTTTGCATAGCTTGCATGCACACGTGCCTGTTGACACGCATCGACTTGCACTCTAATGATTGTGAGAACGCGCGCACTGGTGTAGCTATGCAGAGATCGGGGCAGGGTTTTTCTTGCAGCTCTGAGAGGGGAAGGGATGCAGAGGTCAAGGCACAAAAGGGATTCAAAAGCGCGGCTCTTAATGCGGAGCAACTGCGCCTTAAGGCGGCCGTCCTCTTCAAAAGGACGCGAGAGCGCATGCGCGGCGAGTTCTGAAGGAGGCTATGGAGGCAGTCCCCAAAAGGAGGGGGAAGCCCTAGCGCATGCGCAAAGGAGAACGGGCATGGTTTCATAGAGCTACGAAATGTGTAGAGAAGCTCCATGCTCTTTCATAAAGCAGATTGGCGATGGGTGTCACTGTCTTTGTTATTGTATTGTTATCTGCTGTAGATAACTGTATATTAACTGCAAAGCAGTAGTATATTTGAATATAAAGGTTATCTTATTTTCTACACCTATAGACAGCCATAATCACTAACCCGGAAACGAGTTCCCGACAAGGAAGGTTGCTGCTCTCCACGTTTCCTAAGTCTACGTCCTCCTCCGAGTGGCATTCCAGATCCCTCCCCCCCTTTTCCCCGCCCCGCCTCTCCCTCATTGGCCCGCCGGGAGGGCGCCTGTCACTCTCCGCCGCCTTCGAGCTACGATAGGCCGGAGGAGGGCGAGGAGGCGGGCGCCTGGGAAAGGAGGCCACTTCCGGCCGGGCCGTTTCCTTCGCCCGCTCCCTCACACACTCGCTCGTCCCCCAGCTCTGACTTCCGGTCTTGTGCTGCTGGGTGGGGGGCGAGGCGGCGCACGCTCCCCCCTCCCTTTTCTCCCCCCCCACAGGCGTAGAGCCCCCCTCTTTTCTGTACCCCCTTTTCGTCGCCCCCGAAAAAGGGCGCAGCGCCTCACCAGAGGCTCCCCAACCAGCCCCGCCACTCAAGCCTCGCCTCCTGGGGCGGAAGCCCCGCCCCCGGGAGCCCCCAGCCCCTAAGCCCCGCCCCTTAGGAGCAGGACAGCCCCCCCCTTGGCCCATCACCCTTGAAAGACCCCCCCCAATTCAGTGGTTAAACACAACCTAATATAGACCCCCCCATAGTAGCTGGAGCCCCCTCCCCAAATAGGGAGCCCCCTCTATTGCCCCCCAGGCTGAAAAGTGGGCCTGCCCCCCCCAACAGGGAGATAGGGGGTGTCCATGTGGCGAGGGGGGGTTAGGCTAGGGCCCCCCTTGTCTGCACCCCCCCACTGACCCCCCCTCCAGTGGGTGCTCTCCATCCTCCCCCCAAAGCCTGGGGGGGTGAGTGGGGGGCTCCCCTGTTTCTTGCCCCCTCCCCTTCCTAACCCCCCCCGGGGGAGAGGGCAGAGGCTCGCTGAGGGGCAGGAAGGGGGGGCGCCCCCCCTCTCCCCCCCTATGGAGATGCAGAAGGGCAAAGGGGGCTCCGGGGCTGCGGCTGGGGGGGCTGCAGGAGGAGGAGGAGGAGGAGGAGGAGCAGGAAAGCTGCTGATCTACACCAGCCTGGATGCCAAGGATGAGTTGGAAGAGGTGGGTATTTGGGGGGGGGGCTCTCCTGTGAGTGGGCAGAGAGGAGGGGGCTTCTCAGGCTCTGCTTGGCCTCCCCAGGCTGGAAGAGCTGAGCCTGAGGAGGCTGCAGGGTGCTTGGTTTTGCCATTCTCCTCCTTCCTTCTTCTTCCTCTTCCTCTTCTTCCTCCTCCCCCTTCCTCTTCCTCCTCTTCTTCCTCTTCTTCTTCCCTCTCCCCCTCCTCTCCTCCTTTCCTCCCTTCTTCCTCCTGCTGTCATCCTCATCACCCTCATCGCCTTCCTCCTTCATTTTTCTCTTCTATTCCTCCCTCTCCTCCCTCCCTCCCTCCCTCTCCTCCTACTGTCACCATCTTCCTCTCCTTCTGCCCTCCTTCGTGTTTCTATTTCTTCCTCTTCCTCCTCTTCCTCTTTCCTTTCCTTTGCCCCTGGATGGTCAGGGACCCCTTTCCAACAAACAGCCCAGAAACCAGAAGTTTTGCCTGGCTTGGCAGGGCTGCCTCCTCCTCCTCCTCCTCCTCCTTTGCTCTCTCGGCCTCTTTGGCAGGAGAAGAGGAGCAGCTGTTGCTGGAGCCCCCCTAGCTGGGGCTGTGATTGTGTTTGTGGCAGGCATGGTGTGTGGGTGTCTCGGTGTCACGCAGGCGGGTGGTGTTTTGATCCTGGCTGGGATAGGGAAGAGAATGTCCTCATTTCCAAACTTGGATAGCTGATGCTGGTTTTATGGTTTCCATCCAGGCTGGCTTTAAGCCTTTCTTTGCAAAAAAAAAAGACAGCCCCCCAACTTCCTCTTAATCCACAGAGGAAACTTATTTTTTAAATATATCAAGGATATATTAATATACCACCGTCGACATACGACTAGAGCTGAGTCCCAAATTTATGTCGCTAGGTAAGAAATCGGAGTTTGGCCCCGTTTTGTGATTTTTCTTCTGGCCACGTTTGCTAACGGAATCCCTGCAGTCGTTAAACTAGTCACACGGCCGTTAAGCGAACCTGCCTTTCCCCATTGATTTTAGCTTCTCAGAAAGTCGCAAAAGGGAATCACGTAGCTCTGAGACACAGCGACCGTCATAAATGTGAGTCAGTTGCCAGGCGGCTGAATTTTGATCACGTGACTGTGAGGAGGCTGCAACGGTCATAACTGGGGAAAACGTTCAAAAGTCCCTTTTTTTCAGTGCGGCTGTAACTTTGAACTGTCACTAAGCGAACTCTTGTAAGTTGGGGACTACCTGAATTTTTTTCTTACCACATTGATGGGCTGGGCAGGCGGACACACCAATATAAGGACACACCAATATAAATACGTGCAAGGAAAAAAGAAAATTATGGGTCCTTTTCCCTCCAAGGGGAATGGGCCTGTTGATTGCTTGAGGCAGAGGAGTGTAAAACCCGGAGTTGTGTTACCGAAATGTGTTTTTCCCATAGTTTGTGCTGTGAGCTGTGGCTGTAACTGTCTCTTGCTGCCGAGTTGTTCTTAATTTTACCCGCACACCTCTGGATAAAAGGTCTCCCTACAAAGAGATGAATTGCGTTCTCTGGAAAGAGAAATTATTCTTTACCGGAGACGGAGCACGTAAAAAGGCCTGAACATGCGTCTTTGGGTGCACTTGCCACCAAACAAGGGAAGCAATTTGCTGGTGTGTGAGCCTAACATCACAATCGGTGACGTGAAGGGCAGTCAGCACTTGCCAGAACAAATGTTTGGAGTCTGGAAATCAGCTTAGGAAAACGGGTTGTTGGGTTTTTTTTTAAATGCCCTGCCTTCTTGGTGAAGTTTTTGGGATTGTTTCCAACAGGATCCAGAATCTGCTTGGTTTAGCCTCAGGGGGTCCTAGAGACAAACCCCCCCCCCATTGTGTCACTTTCTGCCAAGGAGGGATCCACAGGGTTGGAGAAAGGGTGTGACAAAGGATAGCTGGTGAAGGAAGAGTATGGAAGGGGGGTGCCCTCAGAGAGGTTAAAAAGGGAAGGAAGGCAGGAAAGAAAGAAAGAAAAGAAAGAAAGAAAGAAAGAAAGAAAGAAAGAAAGAAAGAAAGAAAGAAAGAAAGAAGGAGTAGGAGGGAGAAAGAATGAAATTAAAAGGCATGGGAAGTGAGAAAAAGAAATGATAGGATGGATGGATGGATAGACAGAATGAAATAAAGAAAAAGGATGGGGAGTGAGGAAGAAAGGAAGGAGGGAGGAAGGGAGAAAGAATGAAGTAAAGAAAATAGAGGGATGGGAAGTGAGAAAAATAGGCAAAGGAAGGAAAGGAAGAAAAACAAGGGGAGGCCGAAAGGAAGAAAAAAATAAATAAAAGGTTTATTTTGCTGCCCCTGAAATTCTTGACTGGGCCTTGGGGGTCTCCGTTGATGGAGGCTTCTCTTGGCATCCAGCTCTGTTTTTCTTCTCAAGGCTGAGGGCACCTCTGAAGGGTGGAAGCCTTGAGATGTCACCAGGGAAGCTTTTACCTTCTCAACAGTCCTGACAGTTGCTCTCAGGATCTCCTGGCAAGCCCTCCTGGGCTGACCCTCCCCCATCAGTGTGACCCTCATCTCTCCCCCCCCCCCACAATCCAAAGAAGATCTTCAGAACGTTCCTCCGAGTTGGCTCCCATCTTTCCTCCTTTTCCCTTCCAGAGGCTGGAGAGATGCATGGGGACGGTGTCCTCTCTGACCAGCGGGCTCTCCGAGAGGGAGGCCAACGACGCCTTGAACGCCCACGTGAGTTTCCCTTGCTCCTTTGGCTTCGGATCTAACCTGGGTTCTTCTCTGGAGGTCCAGGATTTCAGCCGAAGCCGGTGGGAACGGAGCTCCTGTGCCTTTTCCCTCCTTCCCTCCCACCTCCGAGCGACCAACTCTGCTGTTACCTTCCCTTCTTACTCCTCCAGGTGTGCAAAGGAGCCCCCCAGCACGAGGAGGTCTGCCTGGGTCTTTTCACCATGATCCTGACGGAGCCCGCTCAAGCGCAGAAGGTAACCAGACTTTCGTTCCGGTTTGTCTAGGAGTAACCCCGTTTCTCCATTCTTTGGGAGCCTTGCAAGTTTGGACTCTCCCACCACCGTTATAGCTCATCTGGGGTGGGGCATAGGGCTTCTTCCCCCCCCCCCCTTCCTCTTCTTCCTACCTGTCCATTCACTCCCCCACCCTCCCAGTCTTTTTCCGCCTTCTTTCAGCGGTTAAAGAAGCCGCTTGAACCCTCAGCAGTTCAGAGGGACCAGCACCTTGCCCTTTTCGCCCAGCGGGACCTGTTCAGAATTCGAAGCCGGGCTTTTAACATTTCCAGAGGCCGAGCTCGGCTCTTTCCTGGTGGCTTCCGGGGCTGTGCAGGGCAGAAATTTAATCAAAAGCTTCTTCCAGAAGCTCGTTAACCTCTGGAAGGGGAAGGTGGAAAGTTCCGTCTTGGTTTTTTTTTTCCGGTGTGGAGTGACATTTAGTGACACAAATTAGCATTTATGGAGAGGCATGTCAGCCAGTGGGTTTTATTATTATTTTTTTCTCTTCCTTTCCTGCATGCTAATATTTCGGTGGCGTCAGAGCCAAAGCAACAGGCTGTCCCTCACTTCTGCCCCAAGTTTTCCAGCTCCATCTTCTTGGATATTGACAGCTGTCAATCTGTCAGTTTATGTCCCAGTATAAGGGGGCTTTTTCCATCCTGTCTTCCTGCTTATTGACAGCTGTCAGTTTATGTGCCAATATAAGGGGGCTTTTCCATCCTGTCTTCCTGCCCACTGAGAGTCTGTCAGTTTATCTACCAATATAAGGAGGCTTATCCGTCCTGTCTCCCCCCCCCCCCCCGTGCCACAGAGTTACCGAGACCTGGCCTTGGTGAGCCGAGACGGGCTGACCACCGTGTTGACCAAGATGAACCAGATCCTCATGGAGAAATACCTAAAGCTGCAAGACTCCTGCCGTACCCAGGTGGGAAGCGGGATGCTGTGTTTCCCGGAGCCCTTGAAAAGTGGGGAGGGGGGGTGTCAAGGGGTGGGCAGGGGCAAATTATGCCCAGAAGTGATTTGGACCTTAGGAATAACTTGAAGTCCCTTCTGGAACTCCTGAACTGCCAAGATCTGGCGTTAATCGTGGGAAAGAGGGCTGAGATTTAAGGAAGGAGCCTCAGCAAAATTGGGAAAGAAAAACCAGGCGTTTGGGATCTCTAGAGTGGTCCCAAGAGACGATCTCCTTTTTTTGTGACACAAAGCCCATCTTAAAAAAATAATCCCTTTTTTGGCACTGCGGTTTTAGTTTCAGGACAGTCTAGTTTTGGTGGAGGCCTCTGGAGCTGTGACCGGGCGTCAGTAGGGCGCAGTAACTAGGCGCACGCACGGTCCGTCCTGAGCGCCACGACAGAGTGATTTCTCTTTCCTCCAGTTGGTTTGGCTGCTGCGCGAGATGGTGAGGAGTGGGATTCTCGGCATCGATGGGAATTGCATGACGTTCATGAAACAGATCGCAGGTGGGTGTCCTGAGGGTGCCGCGTTTGTTCCGGAATGCCACTAACCAAGAGGCGAAACTGACTTGATCCTTGTCAGTTCGCCTTGCTTCTTCTCAAGCCGGATGGGATCCTGATCTCCCCTTGGTTGTGGTGGGGAATTATTTATCTTAACTTAAAGAGGTGAAACTGACTTGATCCTTGGCTGTTCGCCTCGCTTCTTCTCAAACCTCCCCACCTGGTGACTCTGAAATCAGGCCCGCTGCCAATTTTCCTGTGATCCTCCACTTAATAACCGTTTGTTTAGCGGCCAAAGTTTTCTCACTTCCCTCCCCCCCCTCTGCTGGCAGGTGGAGATGTCACCTCCAAGAATATCTGGCTGGCTGAAAACATCCTCGACATACTGACGGAACAGAGGTAGGCCGGGTCACCTGGCCAGAACAGCCAGCTTAAAAAAACAAACCCAAGAGCCAAAGATGAAACCGGCCAAATCTTGGCTTTTGTGGCCTGAGCGGTTGTGCCTATTATTTTATTTTTCTTTCCTTCTGCCCGGTTTGAACCGGCCCAAATCCTCCCATTTCCTGAAGAGTTCCCCCCCCACTTTCTTTTACCTGCCCTTATCCTACCTGGCTCCCCTCATTAGCACACATCCTTTTCCAAGCGGCTAATCTCATGACGTTTGCCGGTTCCTGCGGCTTCTGCCCAGCTGGGATCGGTTCCAGCACCTGTGTGTATTTTTCTGATTCTCTGCCGTAGCAGAGAGAAAGGGGGTTTTGCTAATAAAGGAGGATATTGGTAGCTTGGGGTTGACATGAGGGGTCCTTGGGGGACCCTCTGAGGTTGGTGGTTTCCTTGTAGACGTTTCATGACCCAACTAGGTAACAGCATCAGTGCTAGAAGGAGGTGGGGAGTGCAGAGAGGAGGAGGACGGTGGGGTCCTTGGTGCTCTCTGAGCTGGGTGGTTTCCTTGCAGACGTTTCATGACCCAAACTAGGTAACATCATCAGTGCAAGGACCCCTTAGAAAGAGTTTGGCTTAGCCTCCATCTTGGTCAGTTCTTTCTTCATGGATCCTTGTGCAGAATCGTAGAAAAACAACCTGCAATTATTTTCGTAGAAACATTCAGATCAAATGCACTCTATTAATGTTAAAACCATAAGCAGGGGATCTTAAATTTTAACTATGGCCTGTCTTGATCCCCCTTTTCCTGGAAGCGCTGATTTAACATTCTAATTTAACATTTGTTTTATCTGCAGAAGCCATTCCTGTTTGGAACCTGGCTTGTTGCTGTGGCAATACAATCCGGCTGTTTAAGCAGCGAGGGAGGGGGGGCTGTTAAGAGCTCTCCGCTGTTTACTTTCCCCGTGCAGAGGATAAATTGGGTCCCCCAGCTAAGCCCACAATGCCATCTAGTGCCAGGTGGCCAGGAAGGGCATTTCAACTGAGGAGAAAATGCTTTAAAGCTGCACATTTTTTAACAAGAGGTTGGCTGGTTGCTAATTTCAACATGGAACGTAAAATGTACCCTGAAAATTCCCCCTTAGGAAAGCAAAGTGAACATTTCTTTGGAAAAAGGGGGAGCAGAAGGAAGGGAGGGAGGAAGGAACAGGAAAAGGGAGAAAAAGAAGGAAAGAAGGAAGGAAGGAAGGAAGGAATAGATTATGTAGATAGATGATAGATACAAATAGAGATGAATGGATGGAAGGAAGGGAGGGAAGGATGGAAGGAATGAAGGAGATAGATAGATAGATAGATAGATAGATAGATAGATAGATAGATAGATATGAATCAATGAAAGGAGGGAGGGAGGGAGGGAGGGAGGGAGGGAAGGAAGGAAGGAAGGAAGGAAGGAAGGAAATAGATAGATAGATAGATAGATAGATAGATATGAATCAATGGAAGGAGGGAGGGAAGGAAGGAAGGAGATAGATAGATAGATAAATAGATAGATAGATAGATAGATAGATAGATATGAATCAATGGAAGGAGGGAGGATAGACTGGAAAAAGTAGAAGAAGGTGTGGAAATTGCTCAAAATGATATTGTAA